AACATAGTAATATCCGATACTACACTATGTGGGTCAAAAACGATGATAATTTTTTTTTTTTTCGGGTCAATAAAAATGGGTAAAATGGTCAAAAACAATGTTTTTGCGTATCTTCTCGGCGAATAAATTAAATTTCTCAAAAAGCGTAACTTTGTAAGTCTTTAAGTATTTACTTTTATTAGTTAATTACTTCATGTTCTGATGACCTGGCATTATTATCTAGAACTATAAGTTGTGTTTTTTTTTGCGAATTTCTAAATATTCATCAAGAAGTTACGATTTAATAACGATAATGCACAATATTAAATTAAAGCATGCACTTAGAACTTTGATATTATAGGTTCAAGTATAATGTACATGTAAATTAGCGTGACATTAAACTAATGCGTGCACTTAGGAAGGTCTGAATGTATTTATAAAGGGTCAATATTTAGTCTTACTGAGAATTTGGAAAGTCTTCTGTAAACGTAATTTTATAACAATGAAATACCAAACTTTGGATATGTTTCTGATCGTTCTTTCAAGTTTACTGATATTGACTATTGTTGACGCCAATAATCATAAACAAAACTTGCACAGTTGCTAAAACCAGATCTCACAACGATGAACATAAAACTTGCACATTTACACAAACCAGCTCTCAAACAACGACTATATTTACCTGTGTATCTAATCTAGCAACTCCCACTTATAAAGCTCCTCCTGATGAGATTTCCGCTTGTATCACTCAAGCTTATGGAAATCACGCTTATGAGACACCCTCATATGAAACTTGAGACAATCGCATTAGTCGTCACTATAATAGTGTTCGAAAGGATAAACATAATAGTGATCGGGATAAGCATAATAGTGATCGAATGGATAAGCATAATAGTGATCGAATGGATAAGCATAATAGTGATTGCAAAGAAACAATAACTGTCACTTTTACGCCTACAACTACTCTGTGCCCTACACCAACCTCGACATGTTGTCAAGTACCCGGTGGCCAAGGGTGGCAAAACGAATTTCACACTCCTACTAATATAACAATACTTAATAATATTACTAATTCGCAAGATTGTTGTAAATTCTGTTTGAATGATTTGGAATGTGTTCAGTGGGCATTCCCCAATCAATGTATCAATTATAATACGACCGATACTTGTGGTGGTGCTATAGTTAATTCTAATGGTTTTTTTGATAGCGGAATTATTCGTTGTAATGATAATGGTAATTGTATTTAACCAACATAATGATAAATTTTATAGAATCAGCAATTTCGAATTAGAATTTCAAAATTCTTTAATGGAGGTTTAAAGTTTCTCATGTTTGAATAGTAATAAACGCATGATTTTGCAAGTATATATATTGATTTATCGTATGTAATTTTCTAAAAACATAAAATTATGCAAATTGAGGGTTACAATTCCAGGAAACCTAACCAATCATACATTACCTTGCAGATTATTAGTCTTTGAAAATTTCTGTTATGTTTTTTTAAAAAAATTGTATCTTGTCGACAAATAAATTAAATTTCTCAAAAAAAGAAGCATAACTTTGTAGCGTAATAACGCTCATGAGCGTTATTTCGAAAATCGTGCCCTAAAATTAATATATATAGTTTCAAAATAACGCTCATGCGCGTCCCAAAATAGCGTGCATCCATAGTGAGGGATGTACAATACATTTATAGTAAATTTTAAAAATAGGTTTGAATTTAGTACTAAGTAAACTTCGAACTTCAACAAAAGTTGATTTTCAAAACAACTTTCATTAAAGCTCGAAGGAAGGTTTACTTGTACTAAAATCTAGTATTTTGTTTGTTTGCTTTTTATACAAGAATTACCTAAACTTTTTTAAATGTCAAAAAATAACGCTCATGCGTGTGTTCGAAATAATGTGCATATACCCAAAATAACGCACAGGTGAGCGTTATTACATGAAAATACGGTAGCAGCAGGGACAGTAATTTTCTGTGGTTAAGACTAAATTCTGTATGTGGTTAAGACAAATTCTGTGATTTAATGTGATAAGCCTTTTACCAATTTCTGTGTATTCTTTCTGTGATTTAACGTGATTATAAATAAAAATTTGTTTATCAAAATTTTTCTAAACCATATAATTCCGTAACTCCCCGAGGAAAACGCTCATAATTTATGTTAATTTAGTGTCTACCTTTCCGGGAGTTCCCGACGCCCACCTTGAATTTATTGGCCAACCCCTACAATATTTAATAATTCTGTGGTATTTTACGCATTTTGTAGAATTCTGTGACATTCTGTGGTGACTAAGGGTGATTTTTGTAGTTGGCTGTGATTAAAAGAAATTCCGTGAAACACAGAAAATCACTGTCCCTAGTTTAGGTTTATTAATGGTTTGGATTTAGGCCTTTGTACTACTGTAGTATATTTATTAAAGGCTCTAAAAAATCCAAAAAATTATTTTTTAAAAAACTGTTTATATACAAAAATCTAATAAATATTTTAGATTTACCAAAATTCATTTATTTTCAAATTTATAATAAAACTATTAAGAAAAAAATTTTTTTAAATTCTTATTTTTGTAATTTTTTTGTACTACCAGTAGTACACAATTTAAAATTATTTTGCTATCCTTTAAACTGTATTCCAGGCAAATTTGCCTGAAATTTTGAAAAGTATTTATAATTTTTTAAATAAAATTAAAAATTATTAATGATATGGGGTATAATTTATATATACA